TCTTCCAAGGTGATGGTATTGGAAGGTGAGGCTTTGAACAGTAATTAAGTCATGAGGATAGAATCCTCTTAAATGGGATTAGTGCCCTTATAAACGAGGTCTGAGGAAGCTTGGTCCCCCCTCCACTGTGCGAGGACACAGCGGGAAGGCTCATCTGTGAATGGGAAAGTGGCCCCTTACTAGACACTAAATCTTCCAGAGCCTTAATCTTGCACTCTCAGCCTCCAGAGCTTGGGCAATAAATTTCTGTTGTTTATACTCAGTTATAGCTGTTACAACAAAGTGAGATGGAACCTTTGTACAAAAGGGAAAGCAGATGGTTTTTGTTCTTGTTCCTGTGTTAAAAAACACAAAAAATAAATAAAGCAAGAAAAAAGCATCCTTTTTAAAAAGTAAAACACAATATTTAGTTTTACCATTTGGGGTAAAATAACTTAATTGGCTTCACATATTGTGTGTGCATGTGTGTGTATGTATATATATGGGTGTGGGTCCATATGTATATGTGTGTGTATACATATGGACCCACACATAGGTATATGAAATTTCCAATAATTACTAAATACAATGAAATTCCAAGAAGCAGGAAGATAATTCAATAAGTTTCTTTTGCTTTGACTTATTCAATAGGGTTAATTGTTTCTAAAAAAAACAACTGAGATTTATTCGCTCAAGAGCTGATATTGACATGTAAATAGCTTAATTTAGCATCTTTCAATCTATCCCTCTTGGAAATATATGGCTTAACCGACCAGCTGATGACTACGCTGAAGAGATTGAGATTGCTCCGGGTGTCATCCGCAGACGTCCTCTCTCGGAACCTGGTAGCCGGTCTCTAAAGCTTCCCTGAGTATCTACTGTGTGTCATGCCCTGTGCCTTAAGGAGGGTAACAGAGAATAAATAGACCCATGGCCTGCACTTTGATCATGTGGCCCCAAGCTTAGAAGAAAAAATGTGTACCTCAAACAATTAGAGAATATGTTAGGACATAAAAATGTGATAAACTGTGGCACAAAAAGTATAATAGAATTTCAAAGAAGAAAAAAAAAACATCAGTATAGTTCTCGGGGTTTAGAAGACATTTGGTAAACATTGATAAAAAGATACCACTGATAAAAAAGATACCATTGATAAAAAGATAAAAAGATGAGAGGCCATGAAAAAACACTAGTGTGGAGAAGGAAAGGTAAATTCCAGAACTCAGAGCTGACAGAGAGCCAGTTTCTGCATCTCACACATGAAGATCCCAGACTCACCACACAGGTGCACTGATCTGACCAAGGTCAGCAGCTCATTGCCTGGAGCTGGAGGATGAACTCTGAGTCTGGTGCAGGTCATTGGTGTGTGACATGCAATGTTATAAATTCAAAGTAAGACACTGATATTAGCAGAGCCAGGGCACACCTTCAGAATACGGGGCCGGACCTCTTGCCTGCTGGAAAAGGGCTTCTCTAATTCTGATACACACACGGATCCCGTGGATATCTGTGTTAAAGTCCAGTTTCTCATTCAGTAAACCCGAGATTCTGCATTTCTTATGTCTTTTGGGGTATCGCACCTGCTCCCTGAGAGCCACACTTAAAGTAGCAAGGCACAGAACGCATTCCATAAAGTACTGCCATCATTTCATGCTCTACAGAATTAAAATCTGCGAGGCCAAACTCCCTTTGGGAAAACTACAGCAGAAAG